TGCCCTGGCAAGGCCCCGGCGACGCCCGGCCCCCTCCTCCCAGAGCCGCCCCCTCCACCGACCCCCACCCCCAGTGTCAGGGAAAGCCCCGGGCTCCCGGCCGGCCGCATGGTGGGTGTGTGCGGCCTGGGGGGCGTTTGCAAATCATGTCTCACCAGTGTATCAGAATGAATCTTGTGAATCACGTTTGACAGAAGGCAGCCGAGAAAGGCTCTGGTTTGCCGCCTAAAAACCACAGCAGCCCTACAGTCCCGAGTCTGGGGCCTAAAGTCAAACCTCGGTAATAAAACAACAGCTTTTGGTTACGTTTATCCGTGAGAACTAGTACACACACAGAAATACTTCATGATGGCCAAAGAGCTCTCCCACGTGTCCTCTGGTCACCTTAGCAACCTTGACAACAACATTTCAAGCTACCTTGATCTTTTCTTCGGGTTCTAGGCTTACAAGAAGGAAGAACGGGAAAGAATCTTTGGAAGTAGGAACTTCCTCAAAGTTTGGCTGACCACATAAAAGTTGGCCGCCTGGGCAACAGATTGGACAGGCGGCAGGCAGGGTGGTTAGTGCTGCGGGAGAGGCTGCAGCGTGAGCTGGTGCTGGTCCTCGGAGAATTTCTGAGAAGAGGCCCCGTGACTGCCCTGTCAGCAGGATGCAGTTGTGATCCCGACTCTCTGCTTTGCAGGCTCAGCTGCAAGACACGGGGTAGCCAAGCTTCAGATTTCCACTGCCCCTGAAACTATATGTCTTTGTAGTTGCTTGATGGTGATAACTTGATAATTGAGGCCTTAACACAAAGTGAGCGGAAGTTCACACTTAAACTTGTTTTTTTGAATCTGAATTTATGATGCTTAAGGTTTAGTGCATTGAAATATGGCTTGAACATAATATTCTTTACATTTTAATTGTAAGCAGAGTTTTTAGGGTTGTGGTTTGGGGTTTTTTTTGTTTGTCTTTAATTAAGTGGTTTCCATTAATATGTAGCTATTCATCCTCGAGCTACCTGTTCTCCCCCAGTTAGAAGAGAGAATCTTTATCAGCTCTAAAAAAAAGTTAAATGCTAATTATTAATTTATAATATCTTACTTCTACTTAATCAATATCCATGTGTTTCAGGACAATTCTCAAACAAAATAAAATGCAGGACAAAATATACATAGCTTTGCTATGTCATGTGCCATAATATTAACACTAAATATCTTGTTGAATTCTGAATGTTATCTTTATAACACAATTCAATGACAAATTAATCTCAGTAGCACATAATGTAGAACCTTTTTCTTATCCATTAAAAACCTTGTAGGGCTATCATAAAAAAATATAGAGGAAATTTTAACATATTGAGTCAGCAACAAAGAAGTATAAAAACCCTTCAATTTAAAAATGTGAATTAAGATAAACAGTTTTGAGTGTAAAGTTTTACTGCTTTTATTACCCTTCAACCATCTATTCATTCTTCTCAGAATCCTTTAAATGTACGTTGTGCTTCCGAAGCTCTTTGTGAAGATGTGTATTAACTGTGAGCTATTGTCACTTGTAGGGTTACAGGTACAGATCATTATTTTTTGAGTGATGGTCTTTATGTCCCTGCTGATCAGCTGGAAAACCAGAAGCCTTTAAATTTACACGTTATTCTCATCAATCCTACTGAAGCATCCAATAGACAGGAAGAAAATGGCCAAGTACCATCTGCAAAGAGACTGAAGCTAAATACAGATGACACAGCAAGCACCGCTTCTGCCTCTTCTTCAGTGGCTCCTGGTGACCTTGCTCGCAGCGCCCCAAGTCAGGAGAGGAAGGAAGGACAAAATGCAAGTGCCCCAAACAAGGCAGAGATGTTGTCAGCTTCGAGCTCACTCAGAAACAGCGAATCCCCAAAAAAGGAAGTTGTTGAAGAGGTCTGCCAAGTGCTACAGAAAGGGGACGCATATATTTTAGACATTGACTTAGATTTTTTTTCAGTTAAAAATCCATTCAAAGAAATGTACACACAGGTAAGCATGACAATGGCGAGGCCTCTTGCCATTCACAAAAGGGTACGAGTCCTAGCATTTCTGTCTGTGGAGAAACTTTCAGTTAAATGAGCAGATCAGCCAATCATGATTAATGAATCATCATAGTATTTGAAGAAGAGAGACATCGTAAGGTAGTATACACTCCAAAAAAGTAAAACAACCTAACAGGAGTCGATCCTTACATTTAAAATAGGTATTGAGTATTCAAGCTCAGAGGTGTATGGCTTACTTCTGCTTGTTGCTTGGGACATAAAAGCTATGCTTGCAATATACAAACTGTTTTTAGCATTTAATCTCCCCTTAACACTGCTTTAACTTCAGCCTGTGCTGGAGAACATCTGACATTTTCAAGTTTCAGCTAGACTACTGCTTCCTTGTTCACAGCAAAGAAGTGAATATGGTGTTCCTGACCTATATTAGCTTCTGACATTCAGTATTTATGGTCACAGTGCCTTCAGCCAACACGTGATGCCAGTTGTTCTGAGTAACAGAACACCATGGGGGTCTTGCCATATAAGAATAAAATTCAATACCTCTCTTAGGTAAAATACATTCTGAATAAAATAATGTAGATGTTGGGGGGGTTGTTTGTTTTTTGAAGGGGATAGGGTGCGTTTTGTTTCTTGTGCTTTTTTCGTTGTTTTGTGCTAAGATAGGTCTTCAGTTGTAGGAACAGCTTTCAAAAGCGGACTTGTTGGTTTTGTCTGCATAGATCTGCCATCTCAGTTTTATTCAACATTTCATTGGGACCATAGTTCAGCAAAATGTGTGTTCAGTTTCAGACACTCTTTAACTATCAGACCGTAAATGCTCAGCTTTTAAGCTGTGTTCTTGAAGCCAGGTTTAAAGTTAAAAAATTGAAAAATGTTTGGCTGGGGCCATGAAGAGTTGCTTTCTCAAGCCTCACAGCTTCTTCCTCACTGGCGTTTCTAGAGCTGTTTGCTGGAGCAGAGGAATGATCTCAGTGGTCAAATTCTTTTTTTGAAGAAACAGGGCTTTGAGGATTTTCTTTGTCATTTGAAGAGCCTAATTTTTTGCCTCTTTTTTCTCTTTCGAAGACAGAATATGAGCTTTTGCAAGAGCTGTATAATTTCAAGAAGCCTCATAGCAATGCAACAGAGGTATGGTATTTTCTTGTGGAAGGTATGAGGGAATGATTCTTTTGATTTAGCCAATAAAACTGGGTTATGACAAGGAAGGAACTTATGAAGGATGCTTAATGAAGTGGTCTCCAATTAAGCCATGCAGCATGCTGACTGCTAAGCAGCAGCAACTTAGTAGTTCTTTGGTATTCAGCATTTTGGTTAAACATGTCACAACTGCATAAATATTTAGCATGAGTGAGAACATTTCTGTAAATGAGTGGTAAATGACAGGGAAGGAATGAAAACATAGTAAGTCATCTGCAGTCTTCGTTTTTTATGTCTCAACAGGGCTTTGGTTTGGGGTTTTTGTGGTATTTGTTTTTCCTTCCTACCAGGCTCCCCCCTTCCTTGCCATAGTTACTCTTCCTTGATCCTCAGAACTTTTCATTTGATGTGTGACGTAAGATCTCTTTCTGCAAATATTTGCATGCACAACCAAACTCATGTGTGTAGCCTCACTCCAAGAAGATTGCCTCTTTACGTGTTCTGAACTTCTTAAGAAAGGACATAAATTGTTGCAGCATGAGAACAGGAACTGACCTTTTAAATTAATGTAATTTCTTTTCAGGCATGCAGAGTTGAAAGTACTTCAAAGCATTAGATTTGGGGTTGTTCTTTTTCCTGAAAATACATTTAATAAATTTTTTTAAAACTTAAAAATTAAATTCCCTTTTCATTATAAAAATGTGAGGCTTGTCCTCATCTGAGCTATGGAAACAAATCCAACAATTAGTCGTATATAGTTTCCATGTTCTCCCCAGTGTATTCTGCCAGAATGTAGATGTGGCTTTTTTAGTTTGTTGTAGAAGGGACAAAGAGAGGTGACGCATTCTGAAGGTGTAAAAGCTTCTGCAAGCATTCATTCTGATCCCCTGGAGAAGATGTTCTGTAGTAATGAATCAGTTGTTTCTGATTCCCCACTTGCAGCAAATCGGACATTTTGAAATTTAAATCATACGGTAGGCCACGGCATTCTTACCTCTTTTTTTCCCTACCATGCTTTTTATATGTGCTTATTTAAAGGAGAGCTTGCTGGATTGTGTTGAAAACCGCGTTCATCAGCTGGAAGATCTGGAAGCAGCATTTGCAGATTTGTGTGACAACGATGATGAAGAGACCCTGCAGAAGTGGGCTTCATGTCCTGGGTAGGGAGTTTCTAAATCGCTAAATGCAAACAGTAGTTTGGGAACTGATTAACCCAGCACTTTGCTGACAGGAAAGGGTAGAGGCTGGATTGGGTCTATGCAAGGCAGTTCTTCCTGTAGTTCTAGGGAAAAAAGGAGTCAAACAAAACAAAAGGAAAGGCAGTCTGCTGTCTTCAGTGCCACAGAAGCCTCCTGGGATCAGTCTTGTACAGCTTTACACAAATTCTGTTGTCAGTGGAGGGAGGCACATTTGGTGACTAAAACGTAGTGATCCACGCAAAGCTCTCAGAAGAGTAACAAATGGGAGGATGTGGAGAAGGATAAGGAGGTGCTCTTGAAGGTTTGGCTTTCTGGGGAAAAATGTGAGTGAAACATCCCAGCAGCATCTGCTGTGCTTTTAAACAAAACATTCAGCTGAAAAGAAACAGCAAAAATCCTTTCCCTTCACAGGAAAATCATTTATTTTCCCTATCAAATGCAGCAGTTGCTGCTAGACCTTGTGTAACGGTGACCACAAGCATTCCCTGTCGAGTTCATGACTTTGCGCTACAACAGCTTCTCTCCAGGTCTGTCCTAATAGAAGTGCAAAGAGGTCTTGCCAGAGGCAGGTATGAGTACGGGGCTTTCTAAGAAAGACCTCGTGAAACAGTACAATAGTACTGATAATTTCCTTTTGTCTCAAATGCAAGATGACATGCAGGGGAAAATACTAGGCCAGCATAACTTCTGCTTTCTTCTTTTTCCTCTCTCTTTCAGTTTGTTTTGTTTTCCCTAACCACTTAAGGTAAATATATGTGTTTCCAACTGTTTCTGTAACAAGTTTTGGTTTTAACTGCAGGATGAAGCCACTTGTTCCACTAGTTCACAGTTTGAAAACCAGGATGGACAGCCCAGACTACGAAATGGTAGGTGACTAGATAAAAGGGTGGAACGTAGATTTCAAAAGTGTAGCTTCAGCAGGGAAGCTTCATTTCAAACTTGCTTCTTGATTCAGGACTTTGTGAAATTTTGGTAGTTTTCTTCTTTTTTAATGCATTATTACTTAGGCCAGTTTTTCAGAGTTTCTAAAATTGTACTCTGCTTGTCTATATTTAGGCAATATTAATGTGTTCTTCCAGGACTGTGATGTCTCAGGCTGCTTCCTCTGCAGGAAGGTTTAATTTCGTCAGGGTCTATTGATATACTTTATAGATGTTCACTTAAGGTACCTATATGTAAAAGATCAGAACTATCACCTTCCAGGGCTGCAGTATACCCTGAATTCATAGGAGGGGTACGGGGTACTGGAGATAATGAAACTATTAATACAACCTCCAGAATTTACTCTGTTTGAAGAACCACTTGGGAAACAAAAAAAAAACAACAACAAAGGTGCCTGAAGAGGTGTAAGATACCTGTTGGGCTATGCATGGATTCTGAGACACTTTTGACACTGATAAATTAGATCAATTATTCATCAAAAGAAATTAAACTTCTATTTAATGTATGTGTAGGTCCATCAGGCAGGCCTGACCTGTGATTATACGGAGCTTCCTCACCATGTTAGCACTGAAGAAGAGATTGAAAGCCTCATACAGTCCATCAAAGTCCTACTAAAAGATCTGCCTAAGCCCACCCTTGTTACAGTTGCTCGGTAAGACTATGTGGATAATTTTACTTTAAAATGCTCAGACTGCGCTCACAAAGCTAAATAGTTCTATGAGTACAGCACTGGTGGGCACATCTTAAATTCTGTCTTAAAATGGAAGCCCGGCAGCATAGTGAAAATTGACATTGTCAGATGTTAACCATACAGCAGTGACAGTACCGACACAGCTAGGGGAAGGTTCTGTGCCGACATCCGGTTTTGTTGGTCTTTAGAGCAGCTGGCACAGATTGCAAAAGCAGAGAAGACATGACAGCCTAATGAGCTAATGACTATACAAAGCCTATGATGAAGCCTTGTATGTGTTGAGACTGACAGCTGTCACTGGGATTCATCCTCTCATACATTTTATTGTGCTAGTTAGAGAAAAGCTGGCTTGGACAGGCCTGCATGGGCTGAAATCACAGCTTCCTTAATGTCTTGCACTGGGGTTTTCAGTGAAACTTCTGATGGAAGTGGTTTTCATCTAATAGGCTGAGTGGGATTTATATTTTAGAAAGCTCTAGTGAAGCTCTGTGCTCTGTATGTGATAGAAGTTACACTTCCAAGACTGTAAAGGTATTATCTGGGAGAAAAGGGTGGAGTTTGAGGCCAGGGACCTGGGAGAATCAGGGATCTGTCCTGGGAAAACTTGATTTGAAGTTGGAATTTAGCAGTATATCTGTTGACAAACCAATGTAATTTAATCACTTCAAAACCACTAAGCATGCCCTTAAAGGGCAGGTGACAACAGCAGAAGCTATCATGAAATTGTCAAGAAGAAGTAATATGGCAAATATCTACAATAAAAGCAAACTGTATTTCCTGTGCCAGCCACAGGGTTGTCATCTGCTGCTGCAGAGAAAAGGGTATCATTTATGTGGATCTTGACAGATGTAATATCCAAGAAGTGACAGCCCTGCTTTTTTACTAGTATCTGTCTGCAGTTCATGAACAGATACTGTAAATAACATTGTATCCCAGGTATTGTGAAGATTTGTTTCTCAAGTTTTTCTAGTAGTATTTGAATTTTTCAGTCTTTCCACCAATCCTTTAATTAGACTATTTGCTTGAACTTTGACTACTGACATGTTTTGTGTCAAAGTAAGGAAGAGAGTCGAGTCAGAAGGATGAACAAGGTCACATCCCTCATCTTCTCCAGACTTTCTATTCGACTTGAGGCAAGCAGGTGCCACTGAGAGCAGCGCGGAGCGGCACAGCACTGCACTGTCACTGGATCCGGGGAGGCAGAACTTGCCATAGTTTGAGAATAGCTTCAGCCTAGACATAGGGCATGACAGGAATGCAAAAGGCGGTAATAACGATGGTATCAGTGCTCTCAAATGTTTTTTTTCAATTCCTTGTAACAGATCAAGCTTGGATGATTATTGCCCTTCGGAGCAGGTTGACATCATTCAGGAGAAGGTTCTCGGTGTGTTGGGTTCGGTGTATGGCATGCTGGATGTGCACTTGGATTACTCGAGCACCTCATCTTCTTTGTGACCTTCCTTCACGTATCACTCACTAATGCAGAGGACTGATTTAAAATGCCTGTTAGCTGTGGTTGTGAGGGGAAAAATGCTGTTATTTCAGCAGGTGGCACTAGAACCCAAGCTAACTGAGAGCTTGTTTTGAGTTGCAGTGTTCCCTCCATGCAGCTGCCTATTCTGTTTGGCTTTGTGCAGATTAGTTCTGTGATTATTATTTTTACTGTCTGGATTGTTCTTAAAAATGGTGCAAGAGAAACTATTTTATTCCTCCATAAAATATATTTTTTCACCCGATTTCTCTAAGTGACTGTAAAAAAGTATGTATATAACTTCTTAAAGTAAATGGATTTCTTTTATGTAATTAAACTTTTTTTGATAGAGTTTGATAAGCAACAGACATATTCCTGAGTTGCATTGTACCTCTTAAAAAAATTATCTCAATAATGCCTTTAAGACATTAGGTTTACTTAGTGATCTTTCTTAACTGCTGTGCTTGAGGTGAGCAGACAGCCCTCTCTCATTTCTTTAAAGCAGCTTATGGCTTCTGTCCCATCCACAATATAATTTATATTTATACTGCATTGCATTAATATTATCTTATTTTGCCTTAGAGTATTTCATTGGCAACAGAATTTAGAGGATAAAAAATATGTGTACATGTTTATTTGTTTAATCCTGTAAGGAGTTGAATTGATGCTTTCTTCAAAAACAAAGGTTTAACTTCGCTGAAGTCAGCAGCAAAATCTTCTGTACCAGGTTTTTGCTCATTTCAGTAACAGTTTTAGAACCATTTAATTTTGAAAGCAATCTGGTTCTAGAAAAGAATGCCAATTCTAAAGGAAAAAATGAATAAAGATAATATTAAATGGACATTGGTAACTTTCTAGACTTTGGGCTGGCAGGAGATAATTGCCTTAGGAGTAACTTTTTTTAGATCTTTGAACTTCCTATAAGCTTTGGGGTTTTATTATTGTATTTTTTAAAGCTTTGAGCTTTGTTCATATTTTAACACCTCTGAAATTGTATCTTTGAAAACACTTTTCATATTTAGAACCAGAAGAATCCAACCAATTAGAAACCCAAATGGGAGTTCACTTTCCAAAACACACAGCGAAACAACAGCAAGTTTTAATGCAGTGACCACGCACTGGCAGAGCTGAGCCTAAAGCTGGCCTGTGGAAGCCCGAGTCCTGACTTGCATTAGCAAATACAGAAGGCAAAACCATCATGTTCAATTTCTGAAAAATTAATTCCCAGTTTTACAGGCCTGCTTTACCTGCCTCAAAAAGTGCCGTGTTAGAGCTGCACTGCATGGGAAGAAAGGCGTGCCAAAGGACGCACCACAGAAGCGAGATCTCGGGGAGAAATTCCCTTCTGTCCTAGTTTGTTGCCCACTCCCACTTGTCCTCTTTCCTTACTACCTGTCACCAGGAAAAAGTTTTTGCCCTGCGTTCCCAAATGCACTACTGCTCCATTTTTTATTTAAAAAAAAATCCATTTGTTTTACTAGTTATGTAAAGAGTAATTTAACATTTAATTGTTGCAGCTCTGGATTTTCTCATTTGCTCCTGTAGTTTTACTTTTGTTTTTCAGAAGTATTCATATTATACAGCACAACATGAAGCATGCTACCAGCCATAAATAAGAAATAACGCCTGCAAAGATAAAGTTGAGAGGAAAAAGATGAGGACAAGGAGTTTGAGTCCGTTGCTTTGGACCTTACCTAGGAGGGCAATGTGGAAGGAGAGGGAGAAAGAAGGGAGGGAGAAAGGGTGCACGGGCCAAGATCACCACCTAGTGACAGAACTTTCGCTTTGCAGCGTGGCTACTTAAATATTAGACAAGTTACATGCCAGAGAAACAATCTAGTCCTTTTACAGTAATAATCCTCTAATGTAAGGATTATGTGTGCCTTCGGGATTAGGAAAATATTCAGAGCATATGCTCTGGTGCAACAAGGCAATAGTTTGTTGGTACTTTTTGTTTGCTTGTTTTAAAAACAATCTAGAAAAAACATTTTCTTGAATTTGTGGAAGATTAATTTGGAGAAGCACCTGTTCTAATCTCTCTAACCTAACAATTTATATAAGCATAAGTTAAATAGCATTTGAGCCTGAACAGTTTTTAAATTAATTATTTTGGACTTACTGAACAGCGATAGCAGTTTCCTGAAAAACACAGAATAACAACTCTGTGAAAGGGGATTATGTGATGGTGTACACCGTTGTGCAGCACCTCACTGAAGGAGTGCTGGGTGAAGTGTAAAGATTCCGTAGAATCTGTCTTCAATTCTTCCAGCAGAATACATTACTCTCTTCTTTCATATCTCAGTACTTTCCTTCCCTGTACAGCGCTGCCATCAATCAAAACAGCAAACTTAAGGCACCTTCTTTCATGTGTTATATCTACATTTTTATGTTCATAAAAATAAATCTTTCCTACAGATAGGGCAAGCATGTTAAAAAGCAGCCTTTTGGATGAAGCTCATGCCATCTACCTTCTAGTTACTTCAGTATCTTTTTTCCTTGGGCCTGAGAACCACGACCACACATTTTCTTGCTCCCTCCCTTTCACACACTGCAAAGATCCTTGCCACAACCCAGCACATCCTAGTCTTGACCACCTCACCCCTTGCTCTGCTTCTCCGTCCCATCTAAGTTCCAAGCTTTTGTTCTGAGACGTTCCATAGCTTGTGCCGCTCGATCCACTCAGACACTATCAAGGTATTTTCACCTCCATTCAGAGGGCCTGGTATGTCACTTTCCACTCGTCCTTAACTTCTCAAACACTCTCATGCTTTATCTCTATTCATTCAAGTTACTTAGATTTGGATTAATTATGCCTTTTAAAAAAATAATTATTTAAACTGTATCATTTTCATGCACTGAACAATGCTGTCTGCTTGCGTTGGACTACCCATCCTGTCTGTAGATGACTTTTCTACTGTCTCACACTTAGCCCCAGCTCGTTGGGGCAGGTCCTGTGTGTGCAGGGTAGCACAACAGCCAGAGATTGAAGCTCTAGGCAACCCAGTCCTGGGAGCAGGGCTGCACACCTCACCCAGATAGTGTCTGAACAACAAATGGTGCTGAAGAGTTAGTTGACAACAAAAAATGTCTAAATCCTACAGTGAAGGAAGGTACTAGGAATTGCACTAAAAGAAGCAGCTACGCCCAGTAAGCTTCTGAAACAGAAAGGCATAGAATTGTAGAATCATTCGGGTTGGAGAAGATCCTTGGGATCATGGAGTCCAACTATTAAACCTGCTTCACAAAGCTCACCTCTAAACCATATCCCCAACCACATCTAAACAACCTTTAAACACATCCAGGGATGGAGACTCAGCCACCTCCCTGGGCAGCCTATTCCAATGTCTGACTACTCTTTCTGTGAAAAAATTTTTCCTCATGTCCAGTCTAAACAGACCCTGTTGCAGTTTGAAGCCATTCCCTCTTGTTCTGTTGCTAATTAACCGTGAGAAGAGACCAGCACCAGCCTCTCTACAATGTCCTTTCATGTAGCTGCAGAGACTGATGAGGTCACCCCTCAACCTTCTCTTCTTCAAACTAAACATGCAACTGCTACAGCGCTGCAAAAAGAACAGATAGTGCAAGCATTAGAATTACAGAATCACAGAATGTTAGGGGTTGGAAGGGACCTCAAAAGATCATTTAGTCCAAACCTTCTGCCAGAGCAGGATCTTCTAGAGTAGGTCACAAAGGAACACATCAGACAGGTTTATGAATATCTCCGGAGAAGGAGACCACAAGCTCTCTGGGCAGCCTGTGCCAGTGCTCTGTCACCCTCACAGGGAAAAAGTTTTTTCTAATGTTTTTGTGGAACCTCCTATGTTCCAGCTTGTACCAATTACCCATTGTACTGTCATTGGACATCACTGAAAAGAGCCTGGCTCTGTCCTCCTGACACTCACCCTTGATGTACTTATAGGTATTAATGAGGTCACCCCTCATCCTCCTCCAAGATGAAGAGACTCAGCTCCTTCAGCCTCTCCTCATTAGGGAGATGTTCCACTCCCTTCATCATCTTTGTGGCTCTGTGCTGGACTCTCTCAAGCAGTTCCCTGTCTCTCTTGAGCTGAGGGGCCCAGAACTGGACACAATATTCCAGATGTGGCCTCACCAGGGCAAAGTAGAGGGGCAGGAGGACCTCTCTAGAACTACTAGCTACTCCCCTTCTAATACACCCCAGGATGCCATTGGCCCCCTTGGCCACAGGAGCATATTGCTGGCTCATGGTCATTGTGCCGTTCACGAGAACCCCCAAGTCCATTTCCCCTGTGCTGCTATCCAACACATCAGGCCCTAACCTATACTGATGTGGGATTAAGGCACTTTTGTCTGAACTTTAGTTCTAACTGCAAGGCAACCATCTTGCCTAAAACATTGCAAGACTGCTTGACCGTCAAAAACCAACATTTCTCATGACATTTGATGTAAGATAATTATATCTAAAATGACTCAATTATCTACACAGCATTGTTCACACATCAGAACGTTGAGAATGTTTCCAGGCCAGCGTGCAGCTGGTACATAAGGAGCTATCCCCACTAACATTACTAAGGTAACCTTAAGAGTTGATAGCATTAAGGGAGTTTGGTGCTTCTGACTCTAAGACAAAATACCACAGAACGTGGAACAGAGTGAAGATACTGGACTCAAGCTCTGTGAACACAAAGGAACCTGGAGATGTAAAGGAGCCAGTTGACTGAACATTTACTGTCCTGAGCCAAGAGACGGTCATCATTTTACAGATGCTGTACTTTGGGTAAACTATGCTCATTATAATCTCATTATAACACCAAAACACCCTGTATCTCGAAAACCACACACCTCCAAGGAAAAACGATCTTTGACACGCCCTCATCTGACCTCCGCGTCCACCAAAAAACTTCGATATTCCACGTAGGGTTAGGGTTCAGAGAACCACCATGCCCCCACCTGCAAGGACAATTGCAACGCAAAAGGCATGCCAAGAGGAGCACGGCAGTGCACC